TTTTTTTTTTGTCTTTTTGAGGCAGGGTCTCACTATGCAGTAGTTCAGGCTGGCCTTGAGCTCACTCTATAGCCCTGGCTGGCCTTGAACTTGCAGTGATCATCTTGCCTCAGCCTCCTGAGTGCTGGGATTACAGGCATGTATCACCATTCCCAGCTCCAACTGATGTTATTATTTTGTGTGTGTGTATAGGTACTGGAAGTCGAACTCAGGACCTTGTGCTTGCCAGGCAGGTAATGTGCCACTGAGCTACATCCCTGGCCCTACTTGTGCTAACAGAGCACAAGCTGACCGGCATAGAACAAAGCAGAAATTCCAACCTCCCCAAGCACTGGGATGACAGGTGTGCGCCACCACACCCAACTTTCTCATAAGGTTTTTAAATTGAGTACCTGGGCCTTGGAGGTGCAAAAAAAAGTCGCAGTATCTTTTTTCTGACTACCGGCTGGTTGTTGCGTGCATGATCATCTAACATACGAATTTATGTCTCCATGTCCAGCACTCTGACATCACTGCCGGCTCACAGAAGCAGCCAGTCCTTTTTGGTGTGGTTATCCAAAAAAGAAGGAAATACGATTTTTAGATCTTTGTGTTCTTTTCTTCTTTTAAGCAAGGTTGGAAAAAGAGCTGGAGAGAAGCACAAATTTTAAAAATAATAAAAATAGCCACGCAGATGTCTACATTGCCAGCATTCAAGAGGTTGAGGCAGGATTGTGGTGAGTTTGAGGCCAGCCTGGGCTGCATAGCAAGTGTAAGGCTATAGTGAGTTTTGAGGGGGTCACATTGGGACATCAGGATCCCCTTTCCCCTGGACAGACACAGACACACACACACCTCACCCCCCATTCTATATATGTAAAAGCCAGTTAAAATTAACATCAAGGAGCCAGGTGTGGTTCTGCACACAGCTAAGAGGCTGAGGCAGGAGAGTTACGGAGTTGGAGGCCAGCCTGGGCTACATAGGGAGACGCTGTCTCACAAAAAAGAAAAATACACCCAGGGATTTCCTATGCAGGACAAAGGCAGCATGGGGGACACATTCACCTGGTCTGTGCTGAGGGTCTGAGAGGTGAAGCCTGCAGCCAAACCTGGGACCGCTAGAGACAGAGTGCTGCTCTATGCTGGCCTCGCAGGGGAGGTCGCAGGGCCTGTTTCCCAGCCCGACGCGCCCAGCCTACCAGCTACCCCTACACTGGCTAGCATGTCTTGAGCCCTGAGAGCCCTGGTGGCCATGCAGAGCCTGAAGTCTGACTACTATGTGTGGTCCAGGCTGACCTTGAACTCACTATGTAGCCCAGGGTGGCCTGGAACTCAGTGATCCTCCCGCCTCAGCCTCCCAGGTGCTGGGATCACAGGCATGTGCCACCAGGCCTGGCCAAACCCTGTCTTAAGAAACAAAAAATGCTGGGCATGGTGGCTCATGCTTGTAATCCCAGCACTCAGGAGGCTGAGGCAGGAGGATCATTGCGAGTTTGAGACCAGCCTGGGCTACAAAGTGAGCTCAAGGTCAGCCTGAACTCCACAGTGAGACCCCATCTCAAAAAGACAAAAAAAAAAAAAAAAAGAATAAGTGCTGGGGTGTAGAGCACTTGCCTAGCATGAATATGAATGAAGTCCTGGGTTCCCTCCCCAGTACCTCCCCAACTCCCCCAAAAAATTGGACATAAGAAATGTCTCAGCCGGGGTCAGCCTGAACTATATAATCCAACCTTGCCTCCAAAAAAAAAACAAAAAAAAGGCCTCTAGAGCCATTTCTTCAAACTCACCGGAAGTCATCAGAAAGGCAAGGTGGAGCCCAGTGAGTTTAGGAAGATTTCTTCTGTGCAATGGGAATTCTGCCTCGGCTGGGTTCAAACTTGCCATCTGCTCAGCCTCCACAGTGCTTGGCTTACACGTGTGTGCCACCACATCTGGCTTGAAAACCTCCTTCTGATTCAGTTTGTTTGTTTGTTTTTGTCTTTTTGAGACAGGGTCTCACTAAGCAGTTCAGGCTGGACTTGAGCTCACTTTGTAGCCCAGGCTGGTCTTGAACTTGTCAAGATCCTCCTGCCTCAGCCTCCCCAGTGCTGGGATTATAGGCGTGCACCACCACACCCGGCCTATGTTTATTTGTTTGCTTGCTTGTTTTTGAGTCTTGCTAGGTTGGCCTTGAACTCCCTCAGCCTCCTGAATGCTGGGATTCCAGGCATCTGCCAACATATCCAACCAATTTTTGTTTGTTTGTTTGAGACAGGGTCTCACTATGTAGTTCAGGCTAGCCTTGAATTCACTGTGTAGCCCAGGTTAGCCTCCAGTGCAAGGCAATCCTCCTGCCTCAGCCTCTTGAGTGCTGGTATCTCAGGCCTGTACCACCACACCCAGCTCTCCTCTTTTGAATGTATTTTCCTTTCTTCTCTTACTGAGGCATCATTAATAAAACAGACAGTAAAATGCTTTACATATCAATAGCACTTTGATTACTAAAGAACTCTTTCCTCATAACTTTGAACATGGACAGGACCAGTATTCCTGGCCCATTTCACAGAGATTGATATTGAGTCTCAGATGAATCTCACTTTTTTTTTTTTTGGTACCAGAAATCAACCTCAGGACCTCATGTTTGCCAGGCAGGCTCTGTGCCACTGATCTATATCCCCAGTCCTCAGATTAATCTCTTAAATTTCCTGGTCTGCCTGACAAAGGGCAGAACTTCTAAGAACTTTTTCCATTTCTAAAACTTTCATAAACTGGCCAGGGATATCGCTCAGTGGGACAAGTGCCTGCCTGGCAAGTGCAAGGTCCTGAGTTCGATTCCCGGTACCAAAAAAAATAAATAAAACTTCATAAACTGAAGTTAGGTGTGATGGCACACAATTGTAATCTCAGCACTCAGGAGGCTGAGTCAGGAGGCTCACCGTGAGTTTGAAAGTCTCCCTGGGCTACATAGTGAGTTCAAGGCCATCAGAACTACATAGTAAGACCCTGTCTCAAAACAAAAAAACTGCATAAACTCCATAATTTTTCCAAAGTCACAAGGCCAACAGTAAGTGGCAGACCAATAGGAGCATAACACTGGGCCCAGCAGACCCATCCCTTACTTTTCTACTGTAAATTTGTACTTCATTAAAGTATTATAGTAGCCAGCTGTGCATCTCAGTACCTTTCCCTGAGGGATACAGGGAGCAATCTACATATTTACACACTTGGCATGCTGAATGGCAGCGTGTGTGCGTGTACAAAAGTAGCAAAACTTACCCGCATCATGCTCCGGGCAACTCTGTTTTGCATCTCAGAGGGTCCGTGGAACCATACCACTCCAGGATTTGTTTTTAAAGTTACCCAATTCAGTACAGTGGCACATGAAAAACCAGATTTGCAAGTTCTGGAGGAGGTCGCAGTGAATCATCTTATTACTCCTGCATGGATGGTGAGGATGACCCATGGTAAAATACATGCTTTCATAACCGAGGAG